ATTAATAAAATTTTAGGACAATAATGCCCATATTTTTAGATTTATTTACATAAATCTTGTTTTTACACCCCAATTAATTAACTTTTTGGACAAAATTACCCTTGAAATCAAAACAAATTTCAACTTACGCAAGCCACCAGCCCCACCCACCTGCTACCGCTTGTCGCTAGCCAAACCAGCAGCCCACCGTGACCAGGAGGCCCCGATATGACAGTTTCTAGCCATATTGATGGCTGAAAAGGCCATATTAGGAGCAGATCTGGCCATTTCCGGCTAGATTGATGGGTTTAGCCGTTAACGGCTAGACCCTTGGCCTTTATCGGCCAGATTTGGGTGAGATCTATTCGTTAACCACCAGACCCTTGGCCTTTATCGCCCAGATTTGGCCGTTAACGGCCAGATCTATTCCGACCGAAATAGATCTGATCGTTAACTAACAACCAGATCCATGGTAGTTAACGGCTAAATTTACTCCTGACCATATCAGGGCCTCCCGGTCACGGTGGGCTGCTCACAATGACTTCCGGCGATGGTTTGCAGTGGCGGCAGGGTGGCGGGGGTGAGTTTGTTATAAATTAAAGTTTTATATAAGTGGGGGTGTTTTAGCTAAATTTGAAATATTCGGGGTTAAAAGAAATTATTTAAAAATTAATAATAAAAATAATATTATATTAATATTTAAAAAAAAATAGCAATTTAGTAATTTAAATATCATACCCACCAATTTATTCCTCCTAAACAAACATATTAATATAACATACCTACAAATTTATTCTAACTAACTAAATACATTTTCTTAAAGATTCATAGTAATCTTCAAGGTAATATAAAATTCTAATAATCTAACATTCCTTGAACCAAATGCACCCTTCGGGTATTTTGGTCCAATAATTATTAGTTGAATGTTGATATGGTGTAATGCAATTATTTTATATTACTTTCTGACGCATGTTATGTTAATTCTATTTAAAAACAATAATTTGTTAACCATTATGACCTTAAACTTTTTTCCAGGGGCTTTTTAGACATTTCATTTGTCAAATTTGGTCTACCGTTAAATCTAACAAAAAATACTAACGACAAGGGTGGTTTATTGGATAATACACATAACACAGGGACCAACTGTCGATTTCAGAAACCACAGGGGTATTGGAGGGATTAATCCTAATTTTAAAATCAGTTTTACTTTTAAGAGATGATATATTAACAATGTAAAAAGACTAAAACGGGTATAATTTGAATTTTTTATTATTATTATTAAAATATATTAAAATTAATTTCTTAAATGAATAAAAAAATGACAACTAGCCGGTGATGGCTGACTACTGCTTGTCTGCTACCCGTGGACGGTGAGTGAACAATCTGAGGTTTATCAAAATCTGAGGGCTTTAAACGGTAGAAAGTAAAAAAACTTTGGCTAAAACTTGATTGGATATTTGCAGCTTAATGCTTCCATATTTCAACAACGAAAATGATAGAGCCACCGACGGTTACGCACCAAATCTGTACACTGAATAACGTGATAAAATCCTGACCGTTGATTAATATTAACTAAAAATGAATCAACGGTCAGGATTTTGTCACGTCATTCGGTGCGCAACCTTCGGTGGCGGTAGCATTACTCTTTCAACAAACCTCTAGCACCATTGCATAAATCATCAATCAGAGATCTCAATGGTGCCAGTGGTGTAAACTCACTTGTTGAAAAAAAAAAAAAAAATCCGACGATAGTGGCCGGCCAATTTATGTATTTTATGTTTTTAATATATATTTTTTTTATTTTTTAATCTAATTTGAAAATTTATTCATACAAAATTAGAATTTATGTTTAACAAAATTAGAATTTAGGTTTAATCTTAGGGCATTTTGGTAACTGGCTTTCTTAAAAGTTGATTTTGAATTCCACAGGCTAGAAATACCTGCTTTTACAATCATTCAATAAAATTGATTATGGAAGAAATAGATTATTCCATAATCACTTGATCATTGCTTAAGAAATGCCACCCCCGCACCCCCAAAAAAAAATATCACTTTAAGAAACGGAGAGATTGTCTTCAACATTTTTGGCTTGAATGGAACATTAGAAGGCTTAAACTATATTCAATAGATAGTAAGAAATCTTTTAGTCATGGAATTTGACGAAATAACGCATTTTTAAAGGTTATTTTGTAAGTGATTTTTCAGTTTGGTTGAACCTATTTTTCAAACACATGTTTCTTGATGCATAGACTACCTATATTATTGCACGAAATAAGACTGTTTTGAATTTTAAATTTTATTTTTTTAACAATAATGCACTATTTTAAAGTAGGAATAATACACAAGATTCATTTAATGCAATAATTAATTGAATTATTACATTATAAATATAAAAAATAAGGAAACTAATTTTATAATTATAGTATTATATTGAAATTAACAATAAGCGTTGCATGCATTCATAGAGGACAGGTTGTAATTACTTGAACGTTAAGACGTAGTTAGTAGTTGTTCAAGAGTTGGTTAACTCACTTTGGTGTTATGATACCCATTTTTAAGTGCAACATAATAGATTTACCAAGTTGATTAAGAGATTTCCCAGTTAAACCACATCAACTTTCAAAAGCGGTAAATAAATAACATAATCATATACATGGTTTGACTAAAATTCATTTTTAGCCTACATCTATAAAACCTTGTCTAGATCGAAGCTAATCCACTAAGTCAACAAACATTACAAGATATCACTTAGAGTTGATTAAAGTTACAGCAAAAAGAACTCCCTGTTTTAGTTACACTTAGCACCACCCTCTGAATCCCTAATGTGTTGCTGCTCCAAGGATCTTCTTCACACCAGAAACACACCCAAACATAGCTTGAGAACCACCCAAGCTTCAATCACCGAAGCCATGCTCCAGCATCAACGATGGAAGCAAGTTCCGACAACCATTCGATCAAGTATATGAGATATGGTGAAGGTTTAGCATATAAATGAAGTTGAACCATTGAAGAAAAACTCTCTGAAAATTTTAAAGCACAAGTAAAATAAAAATATCAAAAGTTAGTTTACAAATGAGCAAGAATGAAGATGATATAGACCAATTTCGTGCTCTCCAATTCTTCCCAAGTCAGCAAACAAGGGCTGACATATGTTGGTCCAAAAATGGAAAAGATTTCATCTATTTTTTGGGACCACAACCAAAAAAGCGAAAAAGCTTATTTCCCTAGACCACAAAAGGATATTGGGACACCTGTAGGTGGTCCTCATGACAGCACAACAAATGGACAAAAAATATCTCTGCTGATAAAGATAAAAACGTAACTTGTATAAAGTGAGTCAGACATGCGATGTTAACACAACAGAAAAATATGCGCACACACGATGTAAAATGCGAAATAAAATACATCATGCATATGTCTGACATAACTCATAAGTGTGCAAGCACACATCCATTATAAACACACATGAAATGAAAATGTAAAAGGCATAAGCCTGATATAGCTAAACACATGGAGGACAAAAAGAATTCTAACTTTTTGTTGGACTATAAACATAGTTTTTTTCTCTTTCTTGCTAGACCACAGACAAAGCCTTACAACCTTTTAAGATCACATATGAAAATTGTGAAACCTATAAAGCTAACTCTCATAAGAATATCACGAATCAAATAAACTTAATGGGCAAGACAATCAAAGGGAAAAATGTCACTTGGCAAAATGTGTCAGACTACATATGCTTGCATAGAAGAACAATGTGCACACATATTTGTTCAACAATTCATTGTCTACTATAAAATAAGTTTGACAAACATATCAACAGTAGTCACTCATGTTGTAATTGTAAATTGTTTGCTAATAACTATCACTAGATGGTTTGATGGTAAAAGAGTAAAGGAGGATATAAGTTTACATAATCTCTCAAGTTCGAGTCTCTGCAACTGTTAATAAGGGTGGTAATTAGGATTTGTACCCGATCGATAATTCTAGGGTCCTAAGAGATTAGTTGAGGTATGCATAAGCTAGCCTGAACACCCCGTCATTAAAAAAAAAAAAAAAATTGTTTGCTAATAATACATTAAAATTTAATTAGCAGACATTGCTTATAAATCAAGCGTCAACTATCTTGAACGTGAAGTTTATTATAATATAACGAAACATGCATGTTACTCGAAGATGTAATTTACTTGGTGGACGAGACCACGACTAGGACTAAAATAAGTTTAACTCGACGCTTTGAAATTTCAATTTCATTCTCACTATTGGAGTAATTTAAACTTAAAAGACTTTCAATCTCCACAATCAAAGTCTATTCTTTGTTATTTGGTTTTGGTCTACATGAAGTCCGATTGACCAATTAAATTAATGTAAAACACTCTCTAATTTACACGGTCCATGACGACTTCGCCACTTTTGCTGCCATTGAATTCATTTCATTTAAAAAGTTTGAATTCCGGTAGTTGGGTCATTAAAATATAAGGCCACCATCACTTTCCAATGTATTCTATTCTGTTCAGAACCCACATGTGAAAAGGGACCAATTTGGTGGGATGGCTTTGTTACATTGAAATTATATTAACCTATTAAGTAATGCAATTTCCACGAGCTTTAACAGTAATTTCCACATGCAATAATATATTTTTAATAATTTATTCTGTAACTATCATAACGTCCATCCGCTTGTATTTGTAATTTTTGAACGGTCCTCGTACTTTACCCGGGTCAAAAAGTCAACCTAGAATCAAATATTTGTTTTTGCTCAATCAACGTATGTTATCTTGGGTGTTTGTGTCGTGGACATCGTGGATAACTCACAGAGTCACAGTTGTTAGAGCTACCATTGTATTGAGTACCATAACACAAGAGAGAGGTGGACTGACTGTCTTGGTGCCTTTTACTTTAACAGCATATTTGCATTAAAATAAATACTTGTCAAGTGATAACTCAATTGCGGTCAGCCTCACTATAAATCTATATAACTACTTGCTCATTGTTTTCTACATTCTCGTCTCAGCCTATTAAAAGGTGAATCCCGTTTTTCACGCTGGGAGTTTCACTCTCTCTCTCTCTCTCTTTTATTCTCGTTTTCTTTTAATTCTTCGTTTATCTTCTGGATTTGCTTGGTTGAATGGTGTTGGTGTTGATGGGATATTGATTAACATGTTGTAGGTTTTGAGAATGGAAAGTCCTGTGAAGAAAGTGTTGCTGACCTCTGATGGAGATGAGATTTCGCGAAACATTGCTTTTCATTTGGCCAAACGGGGATGCAGGTTCACTCTGATTCTATCTTCTTTCTTGTTTTCTGTTAATTTTTTGTTTTAAATTGTCTGGGTGATGAATCAAAGAAACTACATAGAACATCCCAAATTCCAATTTTCTTTCTGGGTTCTTTTCTTCTTTCAATTTCATTGAATTAATTACTTTTTGTGGATTATTTTTTTTTTTTTTTTTTTGTTTGTCAAGATTGGTTTTGATGGGGAACGAGAAGCGCCTTCAAAGTGTTGCGGAGAAGATAAAAAGTTTATTGAAGGTTGTTGAAGCAGTTGAAGTGGTTGGAGTAGATATGGAAGATGAGAGAGAAACAAGTTTTGATGAGGCAGTGAATAAGGCTTGTCGAATTTTGGGCAATTTCGATGCTTTTGTGCATTGCTATACGTATGAAGGTATGTTTATTGTGTGGTCTTGTGATTGATATCTATAACAGATTGATTTTTTACTACTAAAAATATTTACACTTTTTGGAACTACTTTCCCGTTTTGAGAACTTTAGTAGGCCATTTACAAAAAGTGGAAGATTTTTTTTTGTGAAACATGATGAGACTTTTGTGTCGAAAGTGAAAGTGAAGTTTGAGTTAGTGACGGTAGACAATTAATTTGGAAACTACAGGATTAAGCAGACACTGCTAATTGATTCACCAATAATTTATGTATAAATCTATGTATGTGGCTGGTTATAAAATGTTTGTTGTGTAACAAAAGATGATTATTATGGTGTTAAAAAATTAGATTGACCAAATACTGCCTTTCTGATATATTATTTGGGTTATGGTTTCATATCTGATGTAAAGATAGTGGATTCATCTTCTGAAATTTTTAGGGACTTTTTGTTTAGAACCAACTTGACATGCTAAAGTTCAAGGAAGCATATTTTGTCCGATTATGTGAAACAGGAAAATTTATCATATATGATTATGTGAAATAGGAAAGATGCAAGACCCACTACAATTAACTGAGGAGGAGTTCAGAAAATTAGTGAGAATCAATTTTGTGGCTTCATGGTTTCTTTTAAAGTCTGTTGGCAGAAGAATGCGAGACAACAATGCAGGAGGTTCCATTGTATTCTTGACCTCAATAATGGGGGCTGCGAGAGGGATTTATCCAGGAGCTGCGGCCTATGGTGCATGTTCGGCAGGTGTGCAGCAGTTAGCTAGGGTAGGTATCTTTGCAAGGATCTTGTTTTATTTCGGTGTTTTTTACTCTTGCCTACGCTTTGTTGTGCATCAAAGGTCATTATATTAAGGATAGCTACCATCTTGAACCTTGAAGTCTCAGGGTCCATGTGTTGCACTATTGCATTAGGAAACAGTGTGAATACTACATGTTTCTGATGTGTAGTGGTGTAACTTAGGGACATTCTGGTACCTTAGTGACCAGAATGCAACTAAGGCTGTGGTCTTAATTTTTGTATTTGATTATGCTTCATGTGTTTTAGGTGAAACATTTGATTCCGATTCTTTAACATGATCATATTTGTGTACTTTTATGGTATTAGATATTTCGTTGTTAACCATTTGAACTTATTTTTCTTGCATGCAAAATAGTCATAAGAAGTGGTCCTAACTTAGAGTAGTTGAAGGGATAGGAGAATAAAAATTGATATAATACATGAAGTGAATGCATTTTGAGTAGCTTGAATTAGACAGGGCAAATAGAAGTCAATGAAGTGGTTTCTGATTTGCACATCTGCCTCTAAAACTGATAGTTGAAGTTCAAGGAATATTTATTGTTTAAATAGGACCATAGAGAGATTGGTCATGATTTGTGCGAAGCACATGGTGGTCCTTGATTTGGGAGAGTATATGCTCTGTTTGAGCTGTTATTGAGGAGCAACCGTTCTTTGAAGTTAAAATGGGCTTAGTTTAGAATTCCTGTGCAACCCCAAACTTTCTTGATCAGACTTTAAAGTTTAGATATTACTATTCAGTATTTTTGCTCTATGGAATTAACTATGCTAACATCTTGGATTGCTTTTGTCAGACAGCAGCACTGGAGCTTGGAAAATACAAGATCAGGGTTAATGCTATTATCCGCGGTCTGCATTTAGAAGATGAATATCCACTAGCAGTGGGGAAGGAGAGGGCTGAGAAGTTAGTTAAGGAGGTAGTGCCACTGCAGAGATGGATGGATGTTGAAAATGATCTGGCTTCGACTGTTATCTATTTAATCAGTGATGGTTCACAGTATATGACTGGAACACCTATATTTGTCGATGGAGGGCAGTCTCTGACTAGGCCTAGGATGCGATCTTTCATGTAACTCAATTCAACAGGGCTTGCTCAGTTGAGTGGGATATTCTTTCTCAAGGAAAAGCAAAGTGGACTTTTTCCAGATTAATTGTAAGTTTATAGAATAAAAGTGGCTCATCAGTTCTGGGTTCCTTTGGTGCTGGTATTTGCAATAAGTCAATAGTACATAAGCAACAAAGCAAGTTGTTCAAATGATTTTTTTTTTTTTTTTTTACAAATGGGTTTCTATTACCAGATGTTTTGCCATAATCAAAATGATAGTTTCCATTGGACGGTGGTGTTCACCAGCTCTGTTGTGAAACCAAAATTGGTCTCTCTTGTACCTTCAACTGCTAACATTTCTAGAACAATTTATAATCATAACTTGGTTGATTTCTCATACCGTAAGCATCTACCGCGTTATATATTGTAGCAAGATTTTCGGGAATTAATGTCATTTGTCAAAGTCAAGTTAATCTGACCTGGTACTCGGCAGTCGGCAGAGTCAATTTTGTCGGTGAAAGCTTATCGCTAGGATTTGGCAACAAAAATGATGCTAGGAGAACATGTTACAATAGGCAAGTTTTATTCTAATAATATACTGTCTCAAAGACTTTGAAAATAAATCATATAGAGAAATGCTATCAGGACTTGAACATTCATGTCCAATCTTTAATCAATTGAATCAATGTCATATCGTTCATGTTTACAGGACAATTAGAAATAAGATCAGACTCATTCCGATCCGACTTTGTGGTTGTGAACTGGGAGGCATTAAATTGAGTCAATTATCTATGAACAACGTCAAACTCATCCATTTTTTTTTTTTCAAAACAAAGGATAACAATGTATAATAATCTTTTATAAGAAGAAAAATCAAAGTATAAATTTTATGAGAAAATGAAATTATAGACTTAAAATTGGTCTACACGAAGAAGACGTCACCTATTAGCATACCTAGCACATGGTATTCTTGTACAAAACCAGAGAAACTAACGAATATTCCTTGACGTAAGAAGCAGTATGTACTTCAGTACTAAATGACAAAAATAAATAAATAAAATCTTAATATTTATAATATAAATATTTCTCACATGTTAAAATCACTTGGTGTTCATTCATTCATGATCCAAGAAGAAGAAGAAGAAGGTCACTGATTACGCCATACAACCCCATTCAAAAATGACAGCTACACCTTGGAATACGAGAAGAATTATTCACACATGATGACATACATGATCTATTTAACATCAAGCCCACCTCTATGTCATTGTTTTTAACGTGGACGGCTTCACTGTTCCTCTGCCTCTTCCCTTTGGCTCTCACTGCAAATTATTTGCAGTATTTCCATTTCACTCGTCACTTGATGAAACTCCCAACTCCTTTTAATTTCCCAAATTTTATCATGGTAAATATATTTTTCTTGGATACCTTATTTTAATTGCATAGAAAACTATTTTTTTTTTAATTAATAAAATCTTATGTCAATAAAAATAGAGAAAAGTTAGTGCAAGAAAACGCCAAGTCATAGAATAAGACTAGACAAAAATGTTTCCTCAGATGTATATATGAGAAATATTCCTCTTTGACATAGATGTTCTGTTGAAAATTAACCTCCTATATATTATATGCATATACGAAACTTAACTTCTTATTTAAAATAAACATTAATTATAATAATTCGCACAGTTGACATAACATATTCTCTTATAATAGACAACTTTTCAAACAATTTTATTTTTTATTTTTTATCTTAAGATGAAAGTAGGTATTAAACAAACACTTTCAAAACACATGTCAAATATAAGTGTAAAATTTTCTCTGGATTGATGTAAGAATGGTGACTATATGGGTAATGAAAGTGATATTTGACTGAGAAGGAAATTAGGAGGCAGGGGATTGAGCGATGGCTATTTGCCAACTAACACATAAATATTATTAGGAGGCATGTTAGTTTTTGTTTTGACGTTTCAAAGCAAGTTTGAAAATAATATACAATTACTCAAAAGCTTTTGCTTTTTCATTATTAATTTGGAATTTGGACGTTCATTCAGTAACCAACGAAACCAAACATTTCTTTTAACTTTTTTCTATTCAAATAATGGTTTAATGATATTTTTTTTGTATTTATTAACTTTAAAAAAATTATTTTATTATCTAAATTTATATTATATTCTCAATTATGGTGTCGTTACGATTCTATAGTACCACAATTCTCTTCTCTAATTATCACTCACTAAAATCTCTTAAACTCTATTCTCGTTAACCTTGTCAATCTTTGACAATCGAACAATTAGGATTTCTACAATCATTTTTCTCAAATCAAATTCTGATCAATCCTAGCTAATAAAATCTGACTTTTTCTCAACAAAAAACTTATCAGTATTCTCTCTTCAAATTTCAAAAATTTTAACTGTTTGAATTGAATTTGCCCTTGTTAATTATCAAAATATAAATATAAATAATAAAATAATATTTTAAAAGTCTATAAATACGAGAGTGTGATTAAACCCTCCGATTTGGACAACCATTTCGTATTTGGGTAGGAAAAAGTTGTTTACTGTGTATGATTGAAGAAGGGCTGCGCGGACGGGGCACAGCTTTATCTAATACGTCTAGATCCTTGTTTTGTCCAAATTCAAAGACACATTATCTCTTTCATCAATACTTATCTTCTTTTTTTTTTTTTTTTTTTTTATATATTTTTATTTTACAAAGTGTAACAAGATATCATAAGAAATCCCTTATAATTCTTAATTTCTTATAGAGAGCCGAGCCCGAAATATGAAGCATTAATTTATAATTATATTTATTTTTAGATTGCCTAATATGTATCCAGTTGATTTGATGTAATTTGGCTCCATTCGTGTCTCCCTGTCTAGCTGATAGTATACATGCTAATATCTACCCTACGAAGCCAAGTTTCATAATCTGAAGTTTGTTTTTCATTAATTTACGATTTTTTCCTTTAAATGAAACTTTTTATTTATATTTTATAAAACTTTATATTATTTACAAAAAAAAAAAAAAAAAAAACCTCTTCCAAAATCTATGCAAGCAAGATTCTATTATAATACTTCAGTAATTTACTTTCTTTTCCCTGGCTATAGCAAACTTTACCCCGAGTATGAAAACTTTAACCCTTTTCCCTTTTTTTTTGGGGGAATAATTTTCATAAAACTTGTGTAATTTGGTTTCAAAAAGAGTACTCCTTGTAAAAAAAAGAAAATATCTTAATAATAATATGCCCGTATTTTTTTCGTTAAGAAACATTTACATATCTTGATCTTTATTTCAATTTTATGGTTATTTAAAACCTAACCCAATTCATCTAAATAGCTAATTTCAAACAGACCAATTTTTTTGTTGGTTTCAATAAATTTAATTAATTTGTCAGATCCATATATGTGTGTGTGTGTGTGTGTGTGTGTGTTAGAATACTTGCTTAGCTGTTTCTCTCGGTTGATTTTTTTTTTTTTTGTTAATTAAAAAAAAAAAAAAAAAAAAAGGGGAGGCTCTGGGTCATTGTCCTGATGGCTAGCCAGTGGTCCATCCATCCATGTTACTTATAATCAATCTCATGAGGAAAAGGGGAAACAATAAAGTTCTAATACTAGTTCACGGACACTCAAATCCTCGGCTTCCTTTTAGCAATCAATATTATGGCCCCAAAAACAGAAGAAAAGGAGGAAAGCAATCAATGAAATAATGGAAGAAAAGTCATTGGTCAGATTATCACTAATTACTTTTAGAATAATGGAAACAAAAAGAATATGTCTATATGCATGCACCATGAATCTCATGAGAGATAACAGTGACGCTAGCTCCTTCATGGAAACTCAGGCAGACATGCACTAAACCCCTCATTTTATATTTATATATTTTATGACATTCAATGGTCTACAGAAAGTTGTATCTCCACGTGTGATATCTTCTTAGTCCACACACAACTGCTTCTAGTCAAACCTTCCAATAATACCCAGCAATGCATCACCAAACCCTTTCACATAATAATATTAATATGCGATTTTCATGCCACAACTTTCTCCTACATTACATTCGTACCTACCGATTTTTACAAATATATGTCAACTAGAAATACAATATATCAATTTAATATGATTTATAGTTATTAAACTAAAAATTAACATAAAACATTAATAAATTGATTTATGATATTATAGGCTTTATTATAAGATAATTTTTTCTACTTTTACTTTTATTGGATATATGTAAAAATGAGACGTGATTTACTATCTTACTTGGGAGTTGGGACTCTTTATAATTTTTGCACATGATTAACCATGAAACGTAGGGGAGTCTTAATTAGCAAAGGGGGCCTAGTTGTAGTCGTCAATTTAATCCTTTTTTTTTTCTCTGTGTAATAATGGATTATTAACATGCTATTGTCTTTCTTCTAATGATGGAGCCGCCACCATTTTCCAATTTACTTTATACTAATCAAATCCGCTGATGAAGCTATTTTTCTTTCTCTTGGAAAATTATCGTGCCGTCCACGACACCTTATACTCTCTCTATATATATAGACTGTTCAATTCTTATACTAGTTCTATCCTCCATACATTCATATTTTTTCCGTGATTCTGCCCCCACCAAGGAGCCCTCTCCTTTTATTTAGATTTCAATTCAACCTAGGTTGGACAAACAACAGTTCTTCTCTTCTTCTTCTTCTTCTTCTTCTTCTTCTTGTTCTTTACTGGCGTTAAATGGAAAACTACCAGATGTTCTTCCCTTGTTCCTCTACGGGGCAGTCAGCTTATCCATTAACGACGTCGCATATAACAAACTCTGACCATGTTTTTAGTCATGGAGATAGCTCATCAAGTGGGTTNTCCACGACACCTTATACTCTCTCTATATATATAGACTGTTCAATATTTATACTAGTTCTATCCTCCATACATTCATAATTCATTCATATTTTTTCCGTGATTCTGCCCCCACCAAGGAGCTCTCTCCTTTTATTTAGATTTTAATTCAACCTAGGTTGGAAAAACAACAGTTCTTCTCTTCTTCTTCTTCTTCTTCTTCTTCTTCTTATTCTTCTTCTTGTTCTTTACTGGCGTTAAATGGAAAACTACCAGATGTTCTTCCCTTGTTCCTCTACGGGGCAGTCAGCTTATCCATTAACGACGTCGCATATAACAAACTCTGACCATGTTTTTAGTCATGGAGATAGCTCATCAAGTGGGTTTTTGGGATTGAAGCCAGAAAGTTTTGTCCCAAAAAGTACAACAAGTCATGTTAAAGACCTTTCTCAGATTAATGGAGGGTTTCTAGTGTCTGAAAATGAGGGAAAATCAAGTAAAAAGAAAGGGGAAAAGAAGGTTAGAAAGCCCCGATTCGCTTTTCAAACCAGGAGTCATGTTGATATCCTTGATGATGGGTATCGGTGGAGGAAATATGGTCAAAAAGCTGTGAAGAACAACAAATTTCCCAGGTCAGCTGAATTAATCATCTTCTAGCTTCACAGATTTTCAATTTCACATTTGCATATTATTAAATTTGATATGTGTTTAGTGCAACTGTGTTGTTTCCAAATTAGGGTTATGGAAGTAAGATCATTGCAAATTATGCATGCTTCGTCCCTGCATGTGCGTGTACCGTATTGGCTTAATTTCATTAGTATTAATTAGTTCTAGAGGTTCTCATTATCCCCCCTTTCTAATTCGTATGCAAAAAAAAAAAAGATACTTATAGATCCTAATGTTAAATTACATCTAGGGTTTCCATAAACAGTACACATAAAATATTTACAGATCTATTAATCTTCCAAATACATAAACTATACCATCCGAAACCCCAAATCGATATTGTTAGAGTTGGTTTGCAATTGTTGAGAGCACAGACGAAAAAGGTCTGAAAATTCCATGTAACCCTAGCTAATCTAATTTCATATTTGCTTATATGAAGTCATGTAATTCATGTCAAATTTTAGTAAAATGATGTCATAAGACCACAATAAAACATAGGTTTTTCCACAAATTTCTCTCAACTACTACTGACAATGCATTTAATGTATAAAGAATTTTATTGACATAAATTCTTGAATAATTGATTGCAAATCAACAACAAATATAGATGAACATGACACTAAAAGTTTCGATGTCATGACCAATTCAATGATGTGATACTCAAGCAAATTCAAGAAGGGTTTGAATTTAGTTAAATAATTGCTCGTCATTTACCATAAATGATGAAAGTTTTGAGGAAGTAAATATATATTGATACAGTTTATTTCATATATGCAGAAGCTACTATCGTTGTACACATCAAGGGTGCAATGTAAAGAAGCAAGTTCAACGCCTAACCAAAGATGAAGGTGTTGTGTTGACAACTTACGAAGGGATGCACACTCATACAATTGAGAAACCTACTGACAATTTTGAGCATATCTTGAGTCAATTGCAAATTTATACTCCCTTTTGAAGCCTTCATAAATGTGATATTATATATTGGTGAATGATACACCTTTAGAATTCACTCCTTAGATATGTGGAATTTAATAAATTTGTGTTTGTAAAATATATGTTGGCTGAAGATTTTACTTTACTTAAAAGTAAAGGTTATATCAATTAGATTTTGTAAATTTTTTGTGTGTGTGTGTGTGTGTGTTTACACTGTGTATGGTCAGACATTGCGAATTTAGCAAGAGGTCGGTGCTCTTGGCATAAAAGAATATGTTGAGAGATTGATGTTTCAATTATTCAATGTATGTGTTGTGGGGTTTCTTTAATTCTTTTGCTTTCTACGGACTTATATATTTGACTATTACCTGTCAGATATAAATTAAAGAAGCTCAACTCTTCAGTGCATAATGTGCTACAAACGAAGAGGCTTGTCATTGAATTAATAAGCAAATTTGGATGCTAATTTTAAAATTTCATTTACAATATTGTTTTAACATGAATTTGAAATTCATCATGTTCAATTTATGGGAATGATATATCCAAGACATTAGGGTAGAAAATTCAGTTTAATTTGAAGAGCCAACAAAATCCCTAACCAATGAATATAGAACAAAACCTCAAGGGATTGGTCTGACGGTTAAAGAAGCTTGATCAATTTCTTAAGTTTCTGAGTTCAAATCTTGGGACTACCTACCACAATAATATTATACGCACAAATTGGTCTGGATACCTAGATTACCAAAAAAAAATATATATATATATATAGAACAAACATTTGAAATACATATAATATCCTACCATTCTCTTCTCCAAACAGCGTTTAACTAATTTATTGATTTCTCAAATTTTAGAAGGAGCCCCATCGTTAGTAATGTGTTAAAATTACAAATAATAATAAATTATGAACTCTTTAATCTTAAAATGTAAAAACACGTAAATTTGGAATAGAATGAGTTACATATATTGTCTTGAATAAAATTGTTTGGACAAGTACTTCATACTAATTATAAATTAAATTATAGTATTAAATATTTATATAAAATTCATTGATTACATTAAGATTTAGTAAAGAGTATAATTATTTTACATCATCCCATTCCCATCAAATTTCATGATAATTTCGTATTATTTTATGTATCATTTGATATAAAAAAATTTAGGATAATATAATAAAATTGTTGGGAGTCTTATTAATCTTGTTTAAAATTTTACATGAGTAACACTTGTTTATATTAATATTGCAGCCGAGTGAATTTTCCCACTTAGCATCAACTTTAGAAATTTTCCTACCGACATCACCAAAATAAATCAAATCGTACAATATTCTTCGTTTAAGGCATTCTTATTTGGTTTCTAAAAATCCTTAGTACAATTCCAACACACGATATAACTTGTCGTTATTTTCTTCGATTCTAAATTTAGAATATTAACGAGTATGATATTTGAAACCCAAATTTAGAATCGTGGTCCCCTTGTACAATCATATTTGAATTAATTTTCTTCCTTCACAAATTATTGAAACCAATGAAAATCTTAAATACATACAAGGCTAGCAGTAGCCCCATTTTGAAATTTGACTGCATTTTGTAATATACGTGATTAAATTTATTTATTTTCAGTTGCTTTCAATGAAAATTGACACTTGTCAATCAAGAGTTATCATAGAATTGGATGGATGGTATTAGGTTGGAATTAGAGGTGTAAATTGGGTCGTACCGAAAAAAATTAGGTGAGAGTTTTACAAAAACCTAACATGATTAGAATCTTTGTTTGTGACTTTTCAAATATATCCAAAAAATTGAATATAGATAATTAAATGCAATAGTATTGTTTGATCTTCATTAAATAAATTCATAAGCTATCATGGGTGATATTCATTCGTATAGAATAAAATATACAAGAGAAATTATTATAAACAAATTTTTTTTTTTTTTTTAAAGGTAGGGTAATTGGTTGGCCACTCGTTTGGTACAACTCAAACTCAAAACCCCCTGGCTTGTCAACCCTTCACCCCTCCTTCAATACATCTGGTTAAAAAGTGAGTGGTTAAAGATTGATTTGAAAATACTATTTGGGATAATGTTATCGCACTCAGATTATTATAGTATGATTTAGTCAATTTTTGAACTATGATCTAAAGGTTTAAGTTAAAGATTGATTAAAAAACAAAGGTGTTTGGGGTCTTAAATTAAGGCATTAAAAACACTTTTCAAGGATACAAAACGAATGGTAACATTATTACCCAATACTATAATGGACCCTAACAACAAGCATAATAATTCCTTCTAGGGTTCATGATATTTGCTAGAAAGCAGAGGGAGGGTTTGTGATTGTCAAGGATTAAATTAAAGAGTTAATGACTTTTTTTCACCCAAATAATGGTTGAATAACATTTTCTCACTCATAGACTTTTAAAATACTATTTTATTGTCCAAATTTATATTTCGGTAGCGAATAGAGAGTAAACTCGGTCTAGGCTGTTAGGGTTTTTGAAGAGGGAAGGTCGACGAGTCTTTTGGTGGTGGAAGATTAGATTTTGGTGATTGAGATTAATCAGATTTTAACTTGGGAGGGACGGATACGCAAACCCTAATCGTTGGATTACCGATGATTAGTGAGGTCGACTAGAGTAGGGTTTGAGGGGTTTTAGTGAGTGATGATCGAAGAAGAAAATGATGGTAGTATAGGGTCGCAACGATATGGAAATCAGAAACGAAATATAAATTTGAGTAATAAAATAATATTTTAAAAATTTATAAGTGAAAAGATGTCATTAAACCATTATTTGAGTGGGAAAAAATCGTTTATTCTTAAATTAACTTTAAGTGCCCGCAGGCGCAGCCTCGTTTGTCTTACCTGGCTGCTTCTAGATCTTCTCATTATCCCTTTATGTGATTGATTTATTGACATTACAGTCAATGTTTCAAGAACTTTAATTATTAATTAATTGAACTAATCAAGAATGGAAGTCCCTTTCTTCAATTCCTCTAATCATCCTCTTTTTCTTTCAGTTGTTTTTTAATTGTATAATAAGTCAGGAAATAAAAGGTTTCAAACAAGAAACTGAAGTAAATGGACCGAGTGAAAATTGGACAAATTTCCACTAAGTTAATTATCAACTTTCGTCTCTCTTTCTTCTTAAAATTGATACATGACCTTAAAGTCAATTGTTCCACCGAGTACTTGCATGCCAGCTTAGCTAGATCCTTAGAATGCTATCTATCTATCTATTTCTTTTGGACTTCAAATTTCATCGTCTTATCTTCGTCCCTATTGCTGTTTCCCCTTTTTTGTCAAACTGCTCCGTAGGAATATAAGTTTTGTATTATATATAAGCTATCATTAAGTAGGACAGGAGAGGAGAGTAAACAGATTGTTGACCAGGACTAGGACCTGAAGCTTTGTTAGAGCGAGTGAATTGGGACAATAAATGTCACTTACATAAACTGGAAGGATTTTATTCAATTACGGGACTTTAAAAAAGTTGAGTGTGGTCTCATCACCTTCAGAATTTTCGAAGACGACCCTCGGCCTTGTGGGGAATGTATTCATGACTCATGCTTAACAATTATTACGCAACTGTAATACAGGGACAAAACTTGAACTACATTTCTAGTTCATAAGAACATTTCATTATTGTCAACATCAGTAGCCTCAGGCATATGTTTTCCGAGTCGAAGTAAATATTTAATTCCTCTATTCTTGTTCCTTGTTTCCTGCAACTATCAATACTTTAGCCCCATCGTTAGTAATGTGTTAAAATTACAAATAATAATAAATTATGAACTCTTTAATCTTAAAATGTAAAAACACGTAAATTTGGAATAGAATGAGTTACATATATTGTCTTGAATAAAATTGTTTGGACAAATACTTCATACTAATTATAAATTAAATTATAGTATTAAATATTTATATAAAATTCATTGATTACATTAAGATTTAGTAAAGAGTATAATTATTTTACATCATCCCATTCCCATCAAATTTCATGATAATTTCGTATTATTTTATGTATCATTTGATATAAAAAAATTTAGGATAATATAATAAAATTGTTGGGAGTCTTATTAATCTTGTTTAAAATTTTACATGAGTAACACTTGTTTATATTAATATTGCAGCCGAGTGAATTTTCCCACTTAGCATCAACTTTAGAAATTTTCCTACCGACATCACCAAAATAAATCAAATCGTACAATATTCTTCGTTTAAGGCATTCTTATTTGGTTTCTAAAAATCCTTAGTACAATTCCAACACACGATATAACTTGTCGTTATTTTCTTCGATTCTAAATTTAGAATATTAACGAGTATGATATTTGAAACCCAAATTTAGAATCGTGGTCCCCTTGTACAATCATATTTGAATTAATTTTCTTCCTTCACAAATTATTGAAACCAATGAAAATCTTAAATACATACAAGGCTAGCAGTAGCCCCATTTTGAAATTTGACTGCATTTTGTAATATACGTGATTAAATTTATTTATTTTCAGTTGCTTTCAATGAAAATTGACACTTGTCAATCAAGAGTTATCATAGAATTGGATGGATGGTATTAGGTTGGAATTAGAGGTGTAAATTGGGTCGTACCGAAAAAAATTAGGTGAGAGTTTTACAAAAACCTAACATGATTAGAATCTTTGTTTGTGACTTTTCAAATATATCCAAAAAATTGAATATAGATAATTAAATGCAATAGTATTGTTTGATCTTCATTAAATAAATTCATAAGCTATCATGGGTGATATTCATTCGTATAGAATAAAATATACAAGAGAAATTATTATAAACAAATTTTTTTTTTTTTTTTAAAGGTAGGGTAATTGGTTGGCCACTCGTTTGGTACAACTCAAACTCAAAACCCCCTGGCTTGTCAACCCTTCACCCCTCCTTCAATACATCTGGTTAAAAAGTGAGTGGTTAAAGATTGATTTGAAAATACTATTTGGGATAATGTTATCGCACTCAGATTATTATAGTATGATTTAGTCAATTTTTGAACCATGATCTAAAGGTTTAAGTTAAAGATTGATTAAAAAAGAAAGGTGTTTGGGGTCTTAAATTAAGGCATTAAAAACACTTGTCAAGGGTACAAAACGAATGGTAACATTATTACCCAATACTATAATGGACCCTAACAACAAGCATAATAATTCCTTGTAACAAATCTAGGGTTCATGATATTTGCTAGAAAGCAGAGGGAGGGTTTGTGATTGTCACGGATTAAATTAACGAGTTAATGACTTTTTTTTACCCAAATAATGGTTGAATGATATTTTCTCACTCATAGACTTTTAAAATACCATTTTATTATCCAAATTTATATTTCGGCAGCGAATAGAGAGTAAACTCGATCTAGGCTGTTGAGGCTTTTCAAAAGGGGAGATCGATGAGTCTTTTGGTGGTGAAAGGTTAGATTTTGGTGATTAAGATTAATCATATTTTAACTTGGGAGGGGCGGATACATAAACCCTAATCGTTGGATTGCCGACGATTAGTAAGGTCGACTAGAGTAAGGTTTGAAGGGTTTTGGTGAGTAATGATCGAGGAAGAAAATGATGATAGTGTGGTATCGCAATGATATCAAAATTAGAAATAGAATATAAATTTGAATAATAAAAAAATATTTTAAAATTTTATGGGTGAAAAAATGTCATTAAACCATTATTTTAGTGGAAAAAAATCGTTTACACTTAAATTAACTTTTAAGTGCCCGCAGGCGCAGCCTCGTTTGTCTTGCCTGGCTGCTTCTAGATCTTCTCATTAACCCTTTATGTGATTGATTTATTGAAATTACAGTCAATGTTTCAAGAACTTTAATTATTAATTAATTGAACTAATGAAGAATGGATGTCCCTTTCTTCAATTCCTCTAATCATCCTCTTTTTCTTTCAATTGTTTTTTAATTGTATAATGAGTCAGGAAATAAAAGGTTTCAAACAAGAAACTGAAGTAAATGGACCGAGTGAAAATTGGACAAATTTCCACTAAGTTAATTATCAACTTTCGTCTCTCTTTCTTCTTAAAATTGATACATGACCTTAAAGTCAATTGCTCCACCGAGTACTTGCATGCCAGCTTAGCTAGATCCTTAGAATGCTATCTATCTATCTATTTCTTTTGGACTTCAAATTTCATCGTCTTATCTTCGTCCCTATTGCTGTTTCCCCTTTTTTGTCAAACTGCTCCGTAGGAATATAAGTTTTGTATTATATATAAGCTATCATTAAGTAGGACAGGAGAGGAGAGTAAACAGATTGTTGACCAGGACTAGGACCTGAAGCTTTGTTAGAGCGAGTGAATTGGGACAATAAATGTCACTTACATAAACTGGAAGGATTTTATTCAATTACGGGACTTTAAAAAAGTTGAGTGTGGTCTCATCACCTTCAGAATTTTCGAAGACGACCCTCGGCCTTGTGGGGAATGTATTCATGACTCATGCTTAACAATTATTACGCAACTGTAATACAGGGACAAAACTTGAACTACATTTCTAGTTCATAAGAACATTTCAATATTGTCAACATCAGTAGCCTCAGGCATATGTTTTCCGAGTCGAAGTAAATATTTAATTCCTGTATTCTTGTTCCTTGTTTCCTGCAACTGTCAATACTTTAGTATGTATTTATAAAAGTTTAGTACCAGAATCTTGCAATTCAGAAATCCCAACCCCCGATGGTTGATAATCCCACTTGCATCGACTATGAAGAAAGCAAACAAGTGCAGGCAAAATAATGAAGCACCTGCAGTTTCCAACAACCAGGCACTCTTGAATACCTATGCTTTATCAGAAATTATAATTCCTGATACCTCAGGGATCAGTTTAATCCACTTGGCGCAGTGATATGCAACTTGTTCAAAAAATTCCCCAGTTTAACCTAATCACATGATGGGTAAGCTTTATACCGCAGTTTTAATTCTCATTACCATGCGAGTTATTTAGCTCATTGGTCGTGTTGTAGATGAAATCTAATTATATGTAACGTTTTCCTCCTGTATGCTTCATTGGTTTTGGGTGGAGATATATTCAAATCTTTTCATACCAATCACGGCGGTAGATGTTGGTTTAACTTCTCCATCGGCTTTGATTCAAAACTTCAAATAAAACATTTGTTAGGTGCTTTGTGCGCTACACCAGATAGCACTAAATCATACACTGTACTAATAGGATTTAAGTGCCCTGAAAAATCAGCACCTTAGCATAAACTGGACACATTGAAAAAGGATTTCTCTTTCCCTTATCCATTTCCCATAGTTGTGGTAAGTGAAATGAAGTCAAAACTTTTTGACATTTGATCACTATCTTTTCCATGTTAACAATGATACCAATTGACTTATGAGCAAGACCACACCGAATCATAAATTACCTGATTGAATTCAAAAACCAGGAATTATTGTTGATTCTGACGGTTTAGTGACATGCAGCTGAGCTAAGGATGGTTTTTAATACAAAATGCACACTCTTGCGGTTGTGGACACAAAGTTACAAAAAAACTACATTAATTGAGAAACAACAAACGAAATAAAAGTACAAAGAATTAATGCCAAAATCTTATCCAAAATTCTTCAAGGCCCCATTCATAGCTGCAATCACAGTATTTTAACAGGGGAAGCAATAAACAAGTTAAAATGGGACACTGTTTTTGGTTAAACAAACTAAGATAATAGCTAACAGGACATGTGAATCAACAGCATTGGTCTGCATTACATTCCACTAGAGACAATATTAAAACTGGCAACAAACAGGAGATTTAAACAACCTCACAGGAGTCAGAAGGCGCTACTAACTAAAGCCAAAATAAAGATAAAACTTAAAATAAGTATAGGTTATTTTTTATAGTTACATATTAGAATATTAATACACCATAATAAAATCAAATTTTAGTAAGTTTGGTGCAAGCATAATTAAGGACTTATTCTCAATAAATCATCAAAAGTCACAAAAGTTAAAAGAAAAAGACTACAAACTCTCATATAACAACCAGCCCATCGCAAAACATTAGTGCTTCTCCTTTGGGGTGTCTTTCTCCGGAAGTTTCGACTCCAATTCCTTGGGCTTTATCTTCTCCCCAGCCCTGAAAGGAGACCCATCAAAGCAATGTTTATGTCACAGAGAGATGCAACCTAAACATTAGTTAAAAGATGGAATTTGCATAATATGGAAAGCAAAGAAATGCAGCCAGCCACCATGTTAATGATCATATAGAATTCAGTGAGGACATCAAGAAGATTAAAACAGGAATTTATGCGTCAACAAAAAGCCAGAATCACAATCTTTCTGTTCAAAAGGTACTTTTTCCTATTGCTTACAATAATCATGATAAGTGTTATCGCTGTGTCCCAGCATCTATAGCCATGTTTTCCCAGACTAGTCTTCTATACTCAACTAGATAATTTGATGGCAGATTATCTAGCTTTACATATAAATAATGTTTAGCACCAATACAGAGTACTTATGGCACTTTAACCTGCCATTTATGTAATTTGAAATTATGTGGATTCATGCAACCAATCATGAAAAATCCTACGAGTTCAATAATCATTGATTTCATGAAATAATTTGTCAAGCAAATCTAACAAAATAAAAGAAAAAAAGGTTGCTGAAAGCCATTAATCAATTCAAGACTGATTCTATGAAAATATCTCTCACATCTCTCACAGAATTGAAGATGTTAGCTACACTTACTGGAGTGAACACCTTCTTGAAACCAAATTACTAACTGATTTACTAGCTTCTATTTCCCTGACATGAGAAAACTAAATTTGTTTTCATATTATAGCATTGCAGCAATTCCATTACAATAAATATTCAATCACTACTCAATTAGGAAAGTGCACAATTCTCACAAAACTTTGTTTTCAAAACAGTCTAGTGCAGTAAAGAACCTGAATTAATTGTTAACTTGAGAGTCTCCTATCATGAATTTCTCCAATAATCAATGTCAACATGAAGACTATGCATTTCCTCTCATTGATACACAATCATAATCATATTACTCTAGTACTAGATAAACAAAACATTCTAAACTCAAAACACTTTCTCTGTCAAAGGCTATATCCCAAAATCATAATGAGCAGCTTGAATCAAGTCTACGATTATTTAAACTCACCTATGGTACTACTCAATGCATGAATTGTACACTCATTCCAGTAAAAGATTGCAGCAACATATATCTTTAGTAAAAAGATGAACATATTGAATATGAAATTTCAGCATTTGTCAAAAGCAAATCATCCATATTTCCAACTAAAACAGTCAGAATCTTAACCTCAAAAATTAACTACAATAGCCAGATAATCAAAACACAAACTTGCAGGCTTTTCCAACTGTTCAAACATAAATTTATTTAAATTAAATAGATAATTAACAAAATTAAAAATTAAAAAAAAATACGGCTCGTAACAATCAATTAAACAAAATTAATGCCCAACTTTAGGCCAATCACCAAAAAGATTTATTCCACAAAACAAACGAAAAAAAACCCAGAGAGAGAATTACTTGGAGGCAGCAGAAGATTCTTCTTCGAGCCAATTACGAATATGTTTAACATTGCGCCTGAATATAGAAGCTGATTGTTTCACATCGCTCCTCAGTAAAAGAACTACTGCACTCACACCCGCTACTGTCAATATGAAATTCGTCAACGCCATTTACTTTGCTTCTTCAACTTTGAAGAACCTGTAACTTCCTTGTAATAAACCTCGATGCGACGGTTTTGCCTTTCCAAAGTTTCTCTCGGAACAGAATTACGCTCTGGAGAAGACAAGGCTTCTATATTGGGCCTATTAGACTTGGGAGTTGATCTGGGCCATCTGGCCCTGCAAATTTGCCCCACTTTTTTTTGGGGGGGTACTATTATAATAACACAAGAAAAATATGCAAATAAAAGTAAATATGCAAATTTCCAGTTGTAGATGAGAGAAAATAAAGAGAAGTAACCCGAAGGCGGTCAAGAAGATTTGCTCCCTTTATTGACTTCTTTGATTTGATCCACCTTAAAGACATCTATCACATTTTAGGATTACTTTGGAATATAAGACTTATAAAGTATTAAATAAATCATGATGATTAATTGAAATACACGAAAAATGAAATGGAAACTTCAGTCATCAAAAAATAAAAAAATAAAAAGAAGTATAATTGAAAAGAAGCTTCTCCACTTATTCTAATATGTAAATAACCATTTGTTCTATCTTTTTAAGTACTTTCATACCAAAAGGTTTAATTGAATTCTTTGTTGAGACCTGAGATAAAGTTTGTAATACAAGTAAAGTGTAAAAAATAATGTTCAAATTTAACCAGAAGATAATAATAAAAATTAATGGGTGGCTAATGGTTCATGGTGCTTGTATCTGAAGTAAACATGAAATTTCTTGATCCATTGAATAATACTAGTACCCATCAAATCAACATTCGTTTGATAAAAGAAAAAGTGGGAAACAAATCACAAATAACATTCCAAATCAGATGTTGGAAAAGTAGAAAAAAGTGACAAAGAAAAGTCAAGACATTTATTTCATGAGTGTTCTGTCTCCTCCTATCTTTTAAGTCCAAAATCACATTGGACTAAGTCTCTGTCTCTCTGATAAGTCATTTCTTATTTTATCGAATTTGACATTTAACCCCATGTTAACATTGACATTATTCATTGCAAATGAGAATGAGGATTAATCATATATATATAAAGTATAAAAATATTATAAATCTTATTTCTAGATAAATACTAACTAGGGCAAAGTCCAACGTCGTCATTAGTTTTCTGACTTAGAGAAAGTTTTTGTGCATTATTTGACATGACAATGTTTCACATCTAGGAGCTCTAGAACCGGTTTGATAATCTTTTGAGGCAAAATCCTAGTCAGAACAAATGTTTAGAAATGATTTAGACATTTCTTGGATTGGTTGAGTCTTTCAAGCTTACCCAGGATAATATTTTCACTATTCATCCCGTTGAGCCTATGAATGACTGAAAATTTGACATTAAGGTCGAATGAAAATTTTCTTTGTTAGCCACTCAACACAACCCGTAAAACAAGCAGATACCCTTATAAGGGAATCTTTTTCATGTCTATTGTTCAATGGTTCTACAAGAAAAACAAAAAAAAAAAAAAGAAGGAAAATTGTTGTACTGAGGGTTGGAAGAAAAAGAAAATTCAAAGCTGGCGGGTGAAAAGAAAAAGAAGAGAAAGAATGAAAGAATTGCCATTGAAAAGGTAACGATATTTGTTTACATTTTTACATCCCCATTCATGAGTTCCAGGGATATGATCAATATGAAAAAACAACATATATAAAATCAGAAATCAGGAGCAGAACGGGATATGGAATCCCTGCAGTTGCATTATTAGGTAGCTAGAACCAGCTCATTTGGGACCCTAGTAATTCCTTGGAATCAGATTTCTTTCATTTTTGTCAAAAAGATGGCCGAAGACAAGAAAACAAAGTATGAAAGAACCCACGTTAACTTGTTTATCTCAATATAATATACATATTAATTATAACCTTTTCTTCTCTCTTCTATCCTCTCACATCTAGACGTTTATCCCGTTTAATGCTACTACAGAATATTGATAACAAGAAGATCGATCTCATGATCATCAACACAATAAACAATAACGAAGAATGAGCTTTTCATGATATACATAGAAATTGCATGTGATATTGGCACGGCTCAATCAGATTAAAGAACCCAGCAGCCGGTAATTGAGAACTTTGATTTGATTGAGCCATGCCAACATCATCGCTTTCACCAACTATCAGTACTCAGTGAAATTAACCCTAAAATCGATGGATGAAGCAAAGGAAGGATTCATGCAGTATCTGGCTAGCCTCTTCTCTGATGTGAGTTCATGAATGGAGTCGCGAATTAATACTGATGAATTAAAGCAACGATCGATAAGCAACAGACTGATAGAGTAGAAAGGAGAATATACCAAAAATCAAGAGGAAAGGAATGAGTAGATAGACATAGAAATGGTTGAGACGTCCAAACCTATGCTTTAATATAGGAAAAGGAAAGAGCTGTAGACTTCATTAGGGAAGATTACTTCTGTTACGCCTAATATTTTGGTAAAAATGTGCTTTAGGGCTTTAATTTGTATCCATTAATCCAAAGATGTCCATCAAAACTATAGTTTATTATTTGATATATAATTGTGATCAATGTTGTTGTCATCATAGCATCATCATCATCTTCAAGGTCACAGATTTAATTAAGCTTCGGTAGATCCCACTCCTAAAAACTAGCTCAAGAGAGGAGAGAGTCCAATCACACATATATATCTTAGCAGCCCATCAACTTAGAAATGTGGGACAAATTCAATTTTAATATTTTCCCTCATGCGTGCAAGGCTGGGTTGAAACTCATCACCAACCCACCAACTTGGTGATGTGCGACAAATTCAACTTCAATATCTTCCCTCACGCTCAGCGTGCAAGGTCGGGTCCAAACCCATCACCAACCCACCAACTTGGCAATGTGAGACAAATTCAACTTCAATATCTTCCCTTCACACTCGGCGTGCAAGGCCGGGTCCAAATCTATCACCACCTCAGACAAACGTGACTACGATACCATGACAAAGTGAGTTTAGATAGAACTTATTCCCAAAAGCTAGCTCAAGGGAGGAGGAAGTCCAACCACATATATACACATTAGCAGCCAACCAACTTAGTGATGTGAGACAAATTCAACTTCAACATCCTCCCTCACGCTTGACGTGCAAGGCAGAGTCCAAACTCATTATGGCCTCAAACAAACATGGCTCTGATACCATGATAAAGTGGGCTTGCGTATAACTCACTCTCAAAAGTTAGCTCAAATGAGTAGGGAGTCCAACTGTATATATATACTATAGTAGTAAGGGACATAGCCAGGATTTTTAGTCAATAGGGTCAAAATCATCAACTATAAACCAAAGCTTCAAATCCTATAACTTAGGTTTTCCAACAATTTCTACTAACCCAATAAAATTCAACTCATAAACTTATGAAAACTCATTAAATCCAATTCTAAATATCAAGAAATTAAGTAATATATTAAAATTAAACCAAATCTCAAAATCTATACGACTTAAAGTTTCATCAATTCTTTAAACCATTCAAAATAAACTCAATAACTAACCAAAATTTATCAAACCTAACTTAAAACAACTAATTAACCCATACCTCAACATAAACAAGATCAAAATCTAAGAATTTAATTTTCCAATTTCGAACTCATTTATTAAACTCAATAAAAACACATAACTCATGATCTTTTATCAATTAACAAAACTAAAAGAAAAGTATTTTAAGTTTAAAAAAAAAAAAAATTGAACATTATCTTATCTTGTAATCCAAAAGAATGGCCTTTTTTTAACTAATCCAATCAAAAGAAAAAGAAAATAAGAGAGAAAAGGTTAAAAAGTGTTAATCATGAATTTAAGTGAGGTAAAAATTGTAAATCTATAAAACATAAAGGCTTTTGTTTTTTCAAAATTTGAGTGGTTCCATTGAACCCACATGCGTGAGCGTGGTTTGGTGATGTGTGACAAACTTTAATAAAGATAGATAAGTATTTCAATAGTCAAATGTTTACTAAATTTTGTGTGCTATATATATATATTTATGACGTTGACTTCTTGTTTTATTACCACTTGATAATATATTAAATATTACGAAGTTTTGCCGCAATGTTTTAACCTAAAACTTCACAGTTTGAAAGAATTAATTAACAGTTGGCAATTAAGGTCCTCATGACCCTCGAATACCAATATATAAATTACTGTGATTTTATTATTTTTTTTTTTCTCAATAATAAGATTAGCTAATTAATAGTAACCAGTTTGACTGCGGAGATGGATTTTTCTATGTTGGAGTTGATCGATTTGCAGCACATAACCAAATACCTTGGATTATAAACTGTTAATAGAAAGACTATGTGAAAGATGTCTCGTGAATTAATAACTTATTGACCGAGTTACATATCTAGCGAAGTAGTTAGTAGCTAGGTTTATGTTTGAAGCAGACAACACGATAATTCTAATTCAGTTTTAATCACACAAATCAAACAATTTCTCGATTTCACTGTTTACAATGGTCCTGCCGTCATTTGGACTCAATACTAGACATATTAATTTCTATTTTGGCTTCATCTATGACTCGTTTATTTATCTTATAGGTAATCAATTTCCACCTGCAGTGACGTGTCTAATTGACCTAATTAACGGTCCTTAAATGAAGGGCCGGATCCAGCCCCTTTCATATTAAAAAAAATGAGACTATTATATATATATATCTAGGCCACCGAAAACTTACTATTATTATATATATTTTAAGCTCACATCATATTAAAAAATTAAAACTCTCTCTATTCTTTTTCTCTACAGCTCTACTTATTTTTTATAATTTTATCCCTAAAATTCTTTAGTCTCTTATTCACTTTCTCATGCTATTCGCTCTTAAAACTTTTGAAGACTGAAATTATTATAACTTTCACTACTCAAAGTGTCACAATTAGTTTTATTTTCTGTTTTATCAGTTTTAGGTATGTATATTGTTCATTTTAATTCAATTTATTTTATGGTTGAATCATGCTCTTTTTTTTTTTTTTTTTGAGGTTTTTTATTCTAATTAGAGAGAAAGAGAAATGGGTCTTATCAGTTTATTTTGTGTTTTTGTCAAAGAATGAACCTTCTTTCCCAAAATTAAAATCTTAACTGTATTTTAAAGGATGTTATTCTTCATCAACTACTTTCCTACATTTCAAACGTCACTGTTCAGCTGCTCA